CACACACTAGTCTTCCTTAGCATTGGACACTTTGAGTAGCAGTTGGTCGTTCTTAAATGCCAGTAGAGCGCCAGCAATGAGTAGGATCTGACGACCATGAAGTTTCAAGTTATAACAGGCCCGTGGAATACTCACAGAGCAAGTGGCGAACACTGTAGACTCGTTCATGGTGCCCACACTGGTACAAATCTTCGCAACGAGAACGTTAAGAGGTACTCGATATAGATTGAACATAGTTGCTCGAATCGACGCCGGCACGATACCTGAGCCAAGGCTCAACGAACACACAAGTTGTTGAGGATTACTCGATCGAATCGAATAATGTGTCGGGAAGTAGACACCACAACACGCCTCGAATAAACAGAATGCTACTAGTCTTGGCAAAGAGGCTATAGTGACGCATGGGACCTGACAAGGACAAAGGATGTTATAACAAACGACAATGTGGGAAATTACGCACATGTTCAACGACGTGTGTTGGTGACAACATGAAAATTCTAGGGAATTCTACAAAATCATTAATCATACGAATTCGAGTAGAATCCAACAAGAATTCACCCTAATTTCCTCAAAGTTTCCATATGGTCACTAACACACACAGTATTATTTCCCACACTACTAGACCTACTGCTAGAGCGATTGCTGCTAGTAAAAGGACGTAAGGTAGGATACTGGGCAGTCGACTCGATCGGCCCTGAAATAAGTCCTCAGCACAATTGAGGAATCTGTACACTTACGCTAAGGGTCTCAAATACTTCACTTCCGATCATCATTGCTATCATAAAGTTAGTGAATACCGTGCCCGGGTCCATAGACTCCGGAAGGGCGGGCGTCCACATGAATACGAATACATACATAGCCGATTCGAAGCAAGACTGGAGCACAATACTCATAACGTGAATGCTGCAAGCCAACTGTCCCCACCTGTATCAAGCCACAGACGAGGACACTAGGCTGTGCTATAACGACTCGAAGGGCCTCCATCATTGCTGTCCGGATGGCAGAGAACGGTGAGCTCGATGATGAGCCAACTTTTGACTTGCCATAATTTTCGTTCCTGAGAATAATCAGTCCCTAAGCCAGTGTTGGAGGAATATATGTTTACTCCCCTCAGCTCAGCTCGGCAGTTTCCTCACTAACTATCACACACGAATTCGAGTAGAAGTGTACAGACACCAATAAGAACTTGTCAAAATTTCCTCGAAATTTCCATATCGTCACCAACAAATTTTCCACACTATTAGGAATCCTCACCATAGTAAACTGATCGCTACTCCGCATATACCCAACGTGGCAGCAGAGACCCGGAAGGGCCCAATAGGGCCGTACTTGACAGCAGCAAAGTGCGATACCACTCCAGCCACAATTGCTGTCGTGCCGTTACCTATATAACAAATAGGGAACAACAGCGAACTAATGTCTACCCAAAGTGGCCTTGGCAAAAGTGTCGTTGAGTGCCGATTCGTCGAAACCCCGTTTCGCGTGCTCCTCCAACATCCACGCTTCGAACACCGAGAAAAGTAGTGATGTGGAAACCCCTCCCAAGAACCTGATAATTCAATCCAAGTAAGAGCCAAATAATGATGACAATGTAAGCTCACCGGCCTAGTAGTAGAGCATAGAAATTATGCAAGTGGTAGAGTAGACATGCTACAGCGTAGAGAATGCAGTACCTGATAAAACTAAACTCTAAAACTGGTATATAGATGCTACTCACATCAGGCAAGCCTTCTTCCGACCGAAGGCATCAGCCATACCACCAACAAACGTCCCGCAAATACCCGAGGTCAGGAAGCCGACAATGAATAGAGAACCTGTAATGGAGTCCTTGGCCACGAGGAGTTCATTTCTATGATTGAACCGAGTAAAATATTCATCGTACTGATGAACGCAACGGAAGGGTAGATTTTGCTCCTCATAAAAACGATGATGATGATTGCATACAATACGGTCTCAATACGCTGTACCCACTGCTACCTGTAAATTCACGACGAATTTTACCCACAGCAACGATGAGGAGGGAAACTCGAATTAGTCTCAAGTTAGAGCTTCGAAAGTAACGACCGATCCTTCATCGTTCCGCGTTGGGTAGTCTAGCAGTAGCGAAATTATTCGTTTCAACACTGAGAAGACTAAGTTAATATCATATATTCTCAGTCATATTCCATTCACGTTTACGAGACCTTGATCGCACGTAAAGCTTCTCTTGAGGGGTTCATAAACATTGGAGTTTCACGACCCGTTTTACGTGAAGTGGCGTTAAACTCTGTGAAAAAGTCGTGCAGTAGTTGTGAAATATATTTTTCAGTACGGTCGTGAAACTCCATCGATAAAGACCACCATCATCACAAAAACCTTATTAATACAGTCGCTTCCCTATGCTACTACCAATATCCTCAATGCTATATCCATACGATCGATACAACGCATACACAAAGGGGCCTTGAAGCCAGTCAGCGAATACTGCTAATACATACACTCCGAGGTAGACGAATTGAAAATGACGGAATTCTCCTATGCCACTGCTACTCCCATGCTTATCGAAACTGCTAGTGATCTGAAAAACAGCACGAAATTTAACGCGTATCGAGTCGCGATAGCACCTCTCGAGTCGATGACCGAGGCCATAGAGTTCTGTAAAGAGGTTTACCAACACATAGAACTCCTAGAAATACACATAGTGTGCTTTCAGTTGGCCATAGTAATAACAAGGACGAAATGCTCATCTATTTGCATACGGTACTGATCGCCAATCGCGTGAAGTATATTAAACCCAATGGGCCTGTTTCACAAGGATACTCAATTCAAGGCGCCGTATGTTTAGGAGCAATATAAGGAGTTTTTTATTAACAGAATTATCCACGTAGTCTGACATGGTAGACTATACGAGTCACAAGTGCAACAACGTTCATTATCAACAGCCTTAACTAGTCAAACAAATAAACAGAGCTTCCCCAGAGAGACGGGCTGAAAAATGGTACGTAGTATTAGTGCGAAGGTTGAACAGTCCCATCATTAGCCACGATGCCGGTGGAGTAATTGTTTGACGTTTACTCGAGTTTAAGGCGCAATTTTCTCAACTATGAAACGCTGTGATGATAACACAGATGCAAGGTTGTGACGGTTTCAAGATACCCTCGATTCGCCCGCTGATGATCTACCTTAGCCCACCATCAGTAAACCAATTATGAAATTTAGAATCGATTCCGACAGAATCCCTTTTTACACGTATAACACGATGTTCAGATGCCGAGTTCTGTCGGTCCTACAAGTTAGCCACGGCCCGATTATAGATCCGAAACGGCCGATCGACTGATGGTGATGATGACAGACCTTGGCTTTATTGATCTTCACAACCTCAGGTGGAGTCCTGCGACGTACGCACACACACCACTGGGCGAGCGCTAAATCAAAATCGATGTCGTCATTTCGACCACCAACTTAGTAACCCAAGTCTAGGAAATTAGAAGCAACTAAATTTACATGCATTTATCTCCATGGAGTAAGTGCAGGTAATGTTGCTTTTAAAGGTGAACGGGTAAAGGGGCAAGAATGTATTATTATCATCACATCGCAGCCACGAAAATAACAATAGTGTTATTAGCGTTCTAGTATAACTGCGAAGCGACGAGGCTGTTGTTATCAGCTACATTAGACAGTAGTAATAGTAGTAGCAGTGTCACACAGACTTCATTCATCGACTCTGTGTAACACTGCCCTGGGAGGAGTGCGAGTGG